CCTGCTGCTGAGCGCCCCGGCCAGCCCCAAAGCCGGGGGCGCCCCGGCCGCTGCCTCAAGTAATAGAGATGTGAAATTAATCTTGCATAAATAAAGAAATGGGAAGATGTGGGGAGGGTAGCTAGCAAACGTCCGCCAGAGCCCTCCCTGGCCTTTGGTATATCGTTGGGTTTTTTGGTCTTATTTTAGCAAGATCCACGGCTAGACAGAATTTATCTAGGGCAGGCCCCAGGCTGTTAGGCTTAGAGGAAGAGTCTGTGTAATATTTTATTAAAAAATTTCTCAGTGACTGAAAGATTGCCAGAGAAGCTGTGCCTTCACAGGCTGCTGAAAGACAACCTCTCTGCCTGCGTTTGTCAGGTGCGCTGCACTGCAGCCATAATGTATGGGCTTTAAATGGTTGTCATGTTTTTGTTATTTAATTATTCAAATGAAATGTCTTGCTGAGAGGAAGAACAACCCACAGAATGACCTCTTGTGCGTTATTTTGTTGTTCAGTTTCTGCCCCGACGTGTCTATTTATGGTGTTTGGAAGAGGGATGGTGGCAGACCTCCAGGTGACCAAATGCCTGCAACAGTGGGCAGAGGTTTTTTGCATATCATGGTGGTAACAGGCATGCAGCATTTCCTCAGGCCACCAGGCAGGTCACGAGGGGTTAAGGGACAAATAATTGCTCTTTAATTCTGTAATTCCTTCTTTAATTTAACTTCATGGCCCAGCTACTGGTAGTGCTTTTGGCTGCCTCTCCTATTTTAGAGCTGTGCGGTAAGGGGGGTACCAGTGATCCCCAGGGCTCTGGCCAGGGATCTTCCAGGTCACCGGTGAGTATCCTTCTTTCCCCTATTTTTAGCTCGAGGGGTTCGAGTATTAAGATCTTTAGGACAACTGTAAAGATAAGCGATGTGCGTGTTGTGTGTCTGTGGAGGTGATGGATATAGAAATAATCACCCAGCTAAAACCTGACCACCTCTACCTGTGCCAAACAGTATCTTTTTATAGCATGGAAGTTGGTGGATCTGTTAGCTAGATACTGCTTAGTAAAAGGGCAATATGCTGTAGCTGCTGAGCATATATAAAATAAATACTGCTTTTTTTTAAAGGCTGAGGTCTGTCCAGTTTATATGCTGAGCCAATACTCTGGCTTCTCACCTATGGAACAGTCTAATAATGGTATTTTAATAGGAAAAATAAGAATAAAAACTTTCTTGAAACTAATAATATTTAAGAAGAATTTGTAAGAAATAAAAATAGTGTAGCCTGTCATACAGACATGCAGCTATCATTTGAGATTACATTTGTCTGATTTTAACATTGCAGATCAGACAGGACAAAGGAACTCAATGTTTTCAATAAAGCCGCACCATAGCAGCCAGGCCAGGCGAAGGGTAACACCAGTGAAATCAGACACGACAGCTATTTAATTTCATATTAGTTTTTTTCCTACTCTAATTTTATTACTTTCTCTCTGAACTATTGCACTTGATTAGACATGTTGTCCTGGACTCTTAAATACTTTGTTAATTTTTTTTTCCTGACTGGTTTACCTTTTGACTTTTGCAATGCTTAACGAAAAGTAAAGCTAAAATGAAATGAAGTCAGTGTTTCAGTTCTGTGTTCTCATTGCTGCGTGGCTGCAAGGTGCATGGCAACATCACAAGATTTTTATTTAGTCTTTATAAAACATTTTTAGAAAGATGATTATGGGCCTCCTGATACTTCCCACTCAGTTGGGAGGGAATTCACTTCAGAAATTTAGTGATAAATATCCACTTAAATTGCACAGTTTAAGCTGGCTTTTTATAGGCATATATGTGGATGTTTGAAGAAGTTCCATGCATACATGTAGAGTCTGAGAGTATTGAAACACTTCCTGAGATTTGAGGATTTGACGACTTTTTTTTAAAAACAAAAAACTTATCGTACACAATCAAAGACAACTTTTGTCAGAGAAGTTGTCCCAGACAGGACCTTCCTGAGCTCTGTTTCTGATCTTGCCACATCAGGTACAGTCAGAGTGCGGTGCTAGCTGGTGTGACCCTGTTAGCGTGGCTGGTGTGCTCGCCCCCGCTAGTCTAGCTTGCCAGCAATAGCTGTCCTGCTTGAGGTGGGTGGTTTGTATCTGAGGCTAGCATAGGGAAACTGTATTTTAAATATCCTATGTTTCTTTTTATTCTTGAAGAGCAGCATGAAGCCATCCTGGAGGGTTGTAACTTGGCAGCTGCTGAGGAAGGCAGGTGTCACTGATTTGCTTGGGACCCCAACTGAGAAGATTTGGGATTTGTCACTAGTTCAGACAATGTGTTACGTTAATTTTGGGATACCCAGGATTGCCTGTTTAATAAGGAATAACTTGAACTATTTGGGATAGGATATTTGTGATGATTCCCCTTTGTTCTCAGGGACGATATTCTCAAGAACCAGAACAGCTTAATCCAGTCTTGGGGCGTAACTTCCACCCAAGTAAGAGACTCTGGGAGTTTTCACAGTGCTTCGGTGATGAGCTCTGTGGGAGTTTCTCCTGATGTCCTGTGTATGTTGGATCCAAAATATTGATGGTGTCCGGACAATGAAGATAGCTTTCACATAAGAGCCTCTGGTCTAGCAGTAACTGTTTTTTGCTTGGTATGCAGAAATTCATGAACTCTTCAGCTGAGCTGTCTGAAAAAGCACTTTGTCTTTCTCGTGCTATAAGACCAAGTAAACAAATTAGGTGTATTTATTACTTCAAACAGCTTGAGTGAAATTGCAAATGTAAGATAGCTAGAAATGAACATGGTTGGGGGGGGTTAGCTGGAGCGTGAGCAACTGGTTTCTTTCTGGCTTTGTGTTCTCAGTTACCTCCAAATAAATCATGTTAAGATGATTATTTTAAATTAATGTCTATATCAATAATTTATCTGGAATTATTGAAGTAGTAGAAGCAAATATTGTATTTTAACTGAACAAGCAGTTTCAGTATCACTGGGGAGTGTCTGCCCTCTTTAGGTGGTTTCTCTTGAAGACTCAGGCAAGAAGGAATGCTCGTCGCCTGGGACAGCAGCTGATGCAAGTGAAGACTGGCTTTGGAAGTCTGCTCTTTTGGTTCATTACTGTTTGTTGGAGAAAGAGAATATGGTCGAGTGCTGGAAGAGGCTTTGCTGCCTTCACAGCTATAGCTATGGATTCAGCTGCGGCTGGGCGGTAGCTGGAGTTCTCTTGATTGCCAGGGAGCACAGGGGAAAGAAGCAGTGATGCCAGGAGCTGTCTGCTGTCTGTGCGTGTTCTCACTCTCCTTACGTCCCTGAAACCCAGTAAGAGTTTTGGTTCTGATTTCTCTTTAAACTGCTGATCTCAAGAGGTGGTAGGCCCTTCCTGGGTCTATGGACATGCTGTGCATGGTCCGTTTCTTGCTGGCTTTCCTTAAATACTGATCCGGGGCGTGGTGTGGGGGGCCTTTGGTCTGACACAGCCTGGCTGTTTTGCAATCATGTCCTGGAATGTTGCCCAGAGGCTGAGCATCCGTATGTAGCCATGCTTTGTGCTGGAAAACGTCCCAATGATGAAACCTTAGGTGAAGGAAGCACGCAGTCCATGTATTTCAGCTCTGGTCATCACATACTCTGGAATCTCACTGCTTTAGTAACTGGAAGAGTGAAGTCAAACTGTTGCTCTGAGCCATTCTTACAGGACTCCTCTGTGCAACATGTGTCTCAAAAATTTTTTTTATATTAACACTTGTCTGGCCTGTTCTGTTAGGTGGTCCTAAGACAGGCAAGTAAGTCACAAACGAGAGGGAATGTTTAAATGTGCTGATACACCAACACAAACATGTGTAAAATACTATTCAGAGCATAGGACAAATAATACACAAGACATGAAGTAAATACTCGTTTGTGTATGAGAATTACTGTCTTCAATAGTGCTCCCCATACCTTTGTAATCGCTTCCATAACTATTTCAGCAGTAAGGTTTTAGTGATGGATCTGTAGGAAAGGTCTCATGGACTTGTGTCTATAGAGTTGGAATGTTTAAGTTACAACATTCACACTGGTGTGACAGACAGCTGTACCTGTTCACTAGTCCAGGGAAACGAACAAGGCCGTATTGCTTGTCTGACTGCTTGGGACTAAGCAGTACTGTTCAAGTTTGTAAAACACTTGCAAACTGCTGGAGGAGTTAAAACAAAGAAATCAATTCATTTACTCAAAAAGATTGCTAGAGGTCCTTAAATATTTGTGGGCCAGGAAAAGGTGCTAAACTCATGATTAAACTTTTGACAATTCTTTATTTGAGCACATTTGCACAATGTAGCACTTAATGCTAATTTGTTTCTCACTTTTTTGAAGTTTGCCAACTCAGTTTTGAGTCATGGAGAAAAAGCAGCTTTTCCACATAAGAAGCTATCATCAACAGATCCAATATTTTGCTTTTTTTCCTTCCTCAACTAAAGCTAATTTTTATCTTTTATTTTTTTTTCTTTTTTGAGCATCAGCACCCCAGTCTGATGAAGGCTCTGACATTGATTCTGAACCAGATTTACCTTTAAAAAGAAAGCAGCGCCGCAGCAGGACAACCTTCACAGCAGAGCAACTGGAAGAGCTGGAAAGAGCTTTTGAGAGGACACACTACCCTGATATTTATACCCGGGAAGAACTTGCGCAAAGAGCCAAGCTCACGGAGGCCCGTGTCCAGGTACGTATTTCACAGAGGGGATTTCCTTTTCTCTTAGCATGTAGGGTCCTCTTATATTATCAGCCTACCTACCCTGGGGTAGAAGGAAAATGTGAAACAATGTTGTTTAAAGCCTTTGGGTACGTGGACACTGGTTTTCCAACTGTTTAAGGCAATAACTGCTTTGAAAAAAGTTTTCTGTTTTCTCAGTAATTGTTCCGTACCTACTTTGGAGAAGGTCTGTTATCCCAGTTTGTTTATTTTATGCATTTGACACCACTGTGCATATAATCAGGTCAGCTGTTGTGCCAGTTTATAGTAATTAACTGATTTCATCTGTTGTTATTCGGGTCTTTCAGGCACTAACAGAGGAGAGAAAAACATTTTAAAAAGGACAACGTGTCTATAGAGCGGTGCAAGTGAGCAGGGTTACTGATGCGGTATCTACAGTTTACTTTTAGGTTAACTTTCAAATTTCAAATAATTGATTTAAACCTTGCAATATCTCTTTTATCCCCACTGTCAGTTTAATTCAAAAGAAAATAAACCCTTAAATAACCATTAGGTCTTCACAACTTCATGTAGCTAACGTGCTGGAGGAGTAAACCATGGAGTTGATTTAAATTTAAAAAAAAAAAAAAAAAGTGAGAACCCAGATTTTCAGATGTCCCAAACCAGGCAAATAGCAGCCAAATAATTATGGAATAAACTGCACCCCAGAGTTCAGGTTCAGACCAGGACTTGTTCTGTTTCGTGCTACAGAAGCATGTCCTGTGAAATGTTTAATACCACAGGCAGAATCCTCTGCTGCTTTTTCACTGCTCAACATCTAGAGTCATGTGGAAAAGCACGCCCAGTTCAAATCAGTCCGAGTTGCAAGTGTTTGTAAGCAAATGTGCGGTTGGGTGACAAGCAAAATGTTATAGCTTGCAACCTAACCAAGGAAGATAAATGAATGGTAACGTGTGATCCTTGGGGATGCAGGTGAATTTGGTTGCTTTGGTGAAACTCTGTTTTTATGTTTCGACCTTTGAAGCTCAGCCTGAGGCATTCAGACTCTGCAAACTGAAATAAGCAATAGAAAATACCCCTCTGACTCTTTAAGACAAGCATGCTTATTGCTGCACGGCTATGTTATTGAGTATCTGCCTAGAAAGGTCCAGACTTTTTCAGTTTTACCTGCTAAATGTTTCTGCAAAAGACTTCACATTTCTTGCGTTTGTTATGACTGTGGGAGAAAATCAGATGTAGTGATGCATTTGTCTGGAAGGCAAACTCAGTGGTGCATGACTTTTCTTAACATGTTTACTAAGTGAAATGCTTGCAAAACAGCTTCGTATATAGAATTGGGCCACGTAAGACCAAACCAAGCCCTTGGAATCAGGGAATCATCCATGCACAAACATAATAAAGATAACTTCCTACATGAGTCCTGTTAGCGAGACAAATGGGATCTAGGATATGATGTTTTGGTCTATGTTAGCTTCAGTAGAAAAGGACGATAAAATGAAAAAGACCTTGTTTGTGTTTTTCTAAATCAATGACCCACAGCTAGAAGAAAAGCAGAACTCTCATTAACATAACAGCTGTCTTAATGTGGCTTTAACCCTGTGACTTTTTACATTCCTTATGGCTTCCTTGGTTCCCTTGAGACACATCCTGTCTCACACCACTCCTATGATCTACAGCCTCACGAATTCCCTGGTACCTCTGACATATGGATATTTTACCTAACCCAGCATGGAAGAAAGTTCCCAGTCAGTCAATGATTAAAATACCAGAACAAAACCTTTCTGGATTAAGGATGAGCTGGGGTTGAAGTAGCCAGCCTGTGGGCAGTTTCCTAGTGCACTCCATCTGTCTGGTACCCTTGAAGCCTGGCAGAGTGATTTAGCAGTGGATTAAGGGATACAGGATTTGCCTTATCAGCATTCAGCACCTCTCTATAGCCCCTTAAAATAGCCACCTATGATGGGCATGAAATAAAAGACGACCTGTGAAAAGAAAATAACCCGAAGAGACTTGAGGCTGAGGGGGCTGGATAGCCAATACTGATGTAGCATTCAGGCTTTCTTAGTCACACTTCTTTTTTGGTAACAGTGTGACAGAGATCAGAGATACCAAATTTTATATGGATATATACACAAAGGTCTCTTTGACTGCTTCCCGATCAAGCATCATCTGAAAGAGCTAGCGCTTTGCAGCCCGAGTCTGGCTGAGTCCAGAAAATTATTTTCTTCTCTGGAGCTGTAAGGACTAATTTTGTAGAGTTGTTTTACATTGTCTAGGAAGTTATTTAATTGATTACAACTGGACCAACCTTGCTATTCCCTCGGTCGCTCCATGTAGCACTTGCATTTCATGTTCTGTTTTTTCTACTCTGCTGCCCCCGTGCTTCCCTTCTCCTATTCCCCAAGGCAGTCTCTGAACACCTGTGAAAGGAAGAGTCTTAAACCGCCAAATCATCTATTTTCTCACTTTCCCACTGTTGTAAGGGTAACCAAATGCATGTTTCTAAGCTGGCTGGTTGGGGGTTTGTGTGGAAAAGTCGCCTCTGGGCTGAGATCAGTCTTAGAACATTTCAGCCCCTAAGGGGAATTTTTTGAAAGCTACAAGCAACTGAAAACAGGCTTTACACTGTGAATGTTGTGTGTTTAATTGTGGGGACAGGAAAGGCTTTTGAGGGAAGTGTTGCAACAAACTCCACCTTGCAAGAGTCATGAGATGTGTAGCTGTAATTGTTGCAAATACTTCAGCACTGGGTGTAATAAGGAATTAAAATGCTCCCTGCAATTCCTCCTGCAGCACCTTTCCACTCCAGAACTGCTGGGTCTTCCTCCCCTGTGTTTGAGCCTGGATGTCACATGGAGCCAGGACAACCTCTTCTGCTGCCTCTTCCAAAGGCACCTGGCTCTTTGCATGTTAGGTGCAATAGGAAGGGGAAAGTTCTTCAGTCTTCTGCATTCATCAGATACAATTTGGAAACATAAGTAGAGTCCCAAAGGATGACCCTTTTATTGAAAAAAAAAAAAAAAAAGTAGTAGTAATACCCTGGGAATGTGAAGTTAGATTCACGTGAGTAAAAATCACAACCGTGCAGTGCTTTACTGGTCCAGTTTAAAACCTCATTAAAACCATCATTAAGTTGCAGTGCAAGCCCTTAAGGTCTGTGCCTATTTTTACTGACTCAATCGGAAGGCAAATTCTAAAACTGAAATTTCCCCCAGTGTAGATAAAGATCAAAGGCTCTTTCTGAGCTTCAGAGCAGCGCAGTTATGGTTTCTGTAACACAGTGCATAAGGAATTAAGTGAGTAGCATCTTCTCTGGCCACTTTTTGATTCCCACAGCAGGCTTATTTTTAGACCTGGATGAACTGGATGAACTTTGGCAGCACTTTGGAGCCTGTTTCAGATTGACAGTGGGAGGTGTTTAATTCAGTCTTTTGGTAAAGGATTTTAAAATAAGGCTCAGGTTTGTCCTGTGGCAGCTGGAAGACGAGGAGCCTGCCTTGGCCGATGGGGACTGGTCAGTCAGACACGTCCTTTTGGGCTGTGTGTTGAAGGCAGGCCTCCCAAATTATCAGAAATGTGGTGTGTGAGATTTGTGTGTTGGACCATGCTGAGGATGTGCCCCAGCTGCATGGGATCGTGCAAGGCAGGAGGTCCTGCTGCCAAGTGGATGGCATATGGCCTTCCTGCTCAACCCCCAAAAGGCAACAGGAGAAATTTGTTTGGACTCTTTTAGTCCATGAATAATGGTGAAAAAACAGGGGGAGTCGGGAAGAATTCTGAAACATGAGTATGTCCTGTCCTGAAAAGACTCTTCTCGGCCAAAATCCCAGGTTTAAATTGGTTTGCTTGAAAAATTCCAAAAAGAAAAAATACTGTTTAAGAGAAGAGCATGTCTGAAAATTCAGGCAGATCTCTCCAGGCTACTAGGATGGGGTTGAATGTTCCCATGTCAAACTTGTAATCAGCTTGTAAGCTTTTGTAAAACTTATTATAGCCTCAGCAGATAAAAGAAGTCCCAAGAGCTCAGAAATCTTGAGTAGCTGGAAGAAAAATGATTATTTTTTTTAAGTGCTGTGCTTGCATATTGTTTTCTTTGTCTCACTGTGGTACAAAGAGGGGAAGAGATGGTTTGGAGAGGAAGATAAGGGAGGGAGGGAAAGGTAAGAGAAGAAATGATGACTCTTAAGCTAGTAGTAAGGTTTGAAAGCTCTGAAGTCCAAGCTCTCAGCTTTAATTGTCTCTCTCGGTAGCAAACAGTGAAAAGCATTCACTGGGAAATCATGGGGGAGGGAGGACCTGTGCCAAAAAAAGTCTTTATTTGCCCTCAGCTCCTCTGAAATGGTTTGAGTTTGTACTCTGAACTGCACAGTCCTATGGGGAGATGGGATAAAGGAATGTGGGACAGATTCAGGAACATTTAAGACTTTTCATCAGATCTTTACAGTTATTCCTGATGTGGTTTATGGAGCATTTATAGTGCCTTTTTTTGAGGCTGTCCCTCTTGCATCATATATAGGATAAAGAAAGAAAATGCTGTGTGCATTCTTGTAGTAGATAACCCTGTAATTGCAGATTCCCCCCGCCCCAGGGTAAAGGAGAAATTCTTATGGGTTAATTGGCCAACTACAAACATATGCAGGCCCAAGAAGACATTTTTAAATATAAAGGAAAAGAAGGGATGTGATTTTGATTCTCTTTTTCTGGTCCCTGCTGCCTAAGGCTCAAATTAGTGGTGCTTTAATTTATAAATACACAGTTCAATTTGCTTATTACTCGATATTTTGCAGAAGTATTCAGCTGCAGTGTGTTTTAGAAGTATTTGTGTAGGGCTGAGTCAAAGTCTTTTCACAGAAGCCTATGAAAGTTGAATACGCTGGATCGCACTGGGAGGTGGTTGGAAGTCCTCGTTCCCTTTGGCACAGCCTAGTGGTTTTTTGGTCTGTTTTCTTTTTCTTTTGTGTGTGTGTTTTATTTATTTATTTTTGTTTACTTGCTTTAAAAGAACTCTG